CATTTGCTGTTATATTAAAGTTTTTCTTCATTACCTATTCAAGCCGTCTCCAGCCATTATTAGTCTCAAAGTGGGTTCCTCGTCATCGAATTTGAAATAATAAGGTTATAGAATTTCCTCACTGATGTATCAAATAACTGAATAGGCTCAGCAAATCTCACTTCTAACACTGGATAACTTTTCTGTCACTGAACTCATTAACACACTGAATACTTCACTAACTGAACTATTTGTTGTTGAATACTCATTTATACCTTTTCTCACAACTTGAATGTTGTAGAACATAACATCCTGTACTCTGAAGCAAAAAAGATATGTTAAAACAATGAAAATAAAGCTTCCTAGTTCGTGAAGTTCCTTGAACAACCTTCATACACAAATAAAACAGTACACTAAACTTTCCCTTCAACTATATAATCTTTTTGGTGGTTTTCTTTTCTGAGACATATGGTGTACAGATGGGATAGTTGTCACTCTTTGTCTTGTCACTGGGAATGTCCTTTTAAGGTAGTTGGTTGAGCAAATCCATTAGTGGGTATGTCCTTTGTAATCACCTGGAAGTGGTCTTGACAGAAACTCTGGGCTCTTCTGCAGGTTCATTTTCTGTTGGCAGATTCTTCTTTGAAATTACCATTTTGGCTGTTCTGTCACTCATATAGTTCCATAAATGATCCGAGTGGATGAATTTTGGCTTGGACAGCATGTACTTCTTGATTCTTAAACCACATTACTTACTCATTTCTGTATAACATACAGACCTTCCCAGCACCCAATTAACTTTGGAGTTCGTCCTTTCTTGTAATGAAATTGTATAACCAAACCATGTCACCTCAATGGGTTCCAGTCTTATGAACATAAACCTTGTAGCAACTTTTTATCACTAGCTGTTTTTTAGTCATTCCTGGGCAACGTCATATATCATCTCATTGGTGTTAGTGGGTCTCTGCTTTGTTACTCTCTCCATTGTCATCTTAATACATAAATGTCCAGCTGTTGGAAATCTATGTAGATGATGAGTGCTTTGGAATATAGAATCTGTGGGAGTATAAGCATTTTTTATGTCTACTTGTATCTTCCAATTTTTGACACAAGTCGTCTTATAGGCATAATGAATCCTACTGTGCCCATTTTTATCTGTGACTTTATAGAGCAACTATTTGCCATAAAGGTTTTTCTGCAATATTCTTAGTCCACTGATTAATTGATTTCAAACTCATATCTTTCATTTGGGTGTTGGACAACATCAGTTTTCCATCATCACTTACGGATGTCACATGTTGGATAATTGTCTGTTGTACTTTAGATTGGTCATCTTTACTATCTTGTTCTTCCCTATTTTCACAATGGATACATTCATCATTAAGGCATGGTTTTTGGGATAATGCCCCAGTATTTCCATAGTTCCATTTGGAACAATGCACAATGTTAAATTAGTACTCTTGAAATTTCTGGAGCCACTGTTTTCTTTGTTGATTACAAAAATTCACCAGTCACTGCATGATTTGTCCAGAGTTTAAACTCTTTTCATTATATGGGTGATAGAAATGCTGTAGGACACAAACACAACTTGCTTTTCCAAGTTATAAAACATCTATCATTTGCAATATTCATTGCCTTGCTATAGTGGCCAGTTATATTCTTTCCTTTGTTTTACTTGTGATAACACTGCTCCCCCTAAAAAAGCACTCCCATCTTTATCTGAAATGGTTAAGTATGCTGTTATATGAGTGGTGGTTAATTCTTTCTGCAATTTATTGAATGCTTGTTGAAAATCAGCAGTCTAAGAAAACTTATGGTCTTTCAAGTAATTTGTGTAGATGATGAGCTGTATAAGAGAATGATTTTACAAAATGACAATAGTAAAAGCATAGTTAACGTAATGATAATGAATACTTTTTTTCTTTAAAGTTTGCTACAGGTTATTTCACTAGTAGTGAACTAACAACATTTCAGCTGAAACTAATAGTAGCACACCTAACTTACAAACAAACTTATTTACGAAATTTCTTTGCTAATCAATCAAGTAATTGAATAGATGTGATAGATTACAATTCTAACACTTAATTCTGAAATTAAATGAATGCTTCACTAATTCAGCTATTCATCATTGATTACTCATATTTATACCTTACTTGCCTTCTGTTTACTACACACATTTTCTAGATTGTAACATCCAACACTATTCAAGAAAAATGTAATTTCAAATTTTATGTTGCCATTCCACTATGTCATATTTAAAAAAGAACAACTTATATATATATTTATAAGTCCTACTTTTTGCCAGTTGTCAAAATAAATGGCTTTTACTTATATTTCTTAATAGTATAAATATATACTATTGTTGTGTATCTGCTTGTTTGTTAATTTCCCGTAGAAATTCTTTCTGAGAAACTTCAGCGATACAAGTCCTTTCTTAATTAAAATTAGTTTATTCTTTCTCGATACAACTTTGCATTACACAGAATTTCCAC